TATATATATATTATTATTATATATATATATATATATATATATATATAGGCCTAAGTAATTTTCCTTTTTTTTTCTTTCTTTCTTTTTTCTTTTAGAGCCACGAGCCACTTTGCACGATATAGAGAGAACTCGTCACTTGGTAGGAAACATTTCCGGTTAATCTTACGAATGCCGTATGCAGAAGTGGTGACGCGCGAGGAGGAACGCGCGCGCCAATTCGCGCATACGATCTAAGCGTTAAACTGTTTATCCGTTTAGTTACACACTAAATACTTGTAGAAAATACGAGCGAGGCTTCATATCGTTCAACGTACACGAGTAGTAGAAAAACGATCGACGAAAAACGCGATTCCACTGTGCGGCGAGCCGCGCGTCCCCCGTTCTTCCGTTCTCATTAATGAACGAGATGATGGAACGGCGAGGGGCCGCCGTTTCGTTATCAAGGGAAAAAACCGATGGATCGTTTTTTTTCCAGGGCGCGAGAAGAGGTGCGTGGCGCATCCTCGATCAACGATCACCGATGAACCAATCCAACACGACATCCGCGCGAACAACGACGACGACGTTGACACGACCGTCGGAATCGACTCTCCGGTCGAGCGGGATCCACGCGCGATCCTCGTCGCTTCGACCCCGGAACGGGCATAATGCGTAAAGCGTTACGTATAGGTAGTATAGGTACTCGGTATTAGGTCACTAGTGCTCGAATCTCGTTACACCAGTTAGCTTCTGGCCGGCGAGTGTGTAGCGGTTGTGTTTCGGCCGCGAACGCGGAAACACATCCGTTCCGCGAGGGTGACCGAGTGAAAACGGCGCGGGCACCGTTTCAACGATCGATCGATCGATCGAATTCCTTCCTTCCTTTCATTCTTTCTCGAATACTTTTCGCGAAATTCGAGTTTCCGCTTTCGCGTTTCCCCGAAAAACACTCCCCGCTCGATTGCAACTACCTGCGAGAAAGGAACACAACAAAGTACGGAGCGATAGTAAATAGTTTTCGAGGAGGATTTCGATGCGTCGGGTGATGGATGGATCTCTGAGGGGAGGAGGTGGTAGGGGAGGTAAAACTAACGAAGGAGGACGAGTTTTACGGAAATATGTGTGTATGTGTGTATATGTGTGTGTGTGTGTGTGTGTGTGTGTGTTGTGTGTATGTACGTATGTATGGAACTTCTACCATTTTCGAGTCGATAACGTTAAACTTACTCGGCGAAATACTCGGATATATAATAAAAAGGGATTAGCTAATCAGTCTTATGTTAGAGGCTCTTTAACGTCTATGTATATTATTCAATTGCGTGTCAATCGCTTTGCTCGCGGTCCATCTCTTTTCTTATTTCCTCTCCGGTGTCGCTCGACTCTAGCTAGCTAGTTTCTCGACGACGTGTTTTCGACGGTTCATACACGGGGTGAGGAGTGGAGTGGGGTGGGGGGAAGGATCGATCGTCCTTTCCTTTCGTTCGCCGATCGATCTCTTTCGCAAACACACACACGCACACGCGCGCCCTCGCGCCTCACAGAGCTGCTAAAAACAGTCTACGTTCTCTCGTCTCTACACTCTCGAAAGCACGGGGATTTCGTGCGATCCCGAACGAATTTCCGTTCGATCCTTATCTCTCTCCGTTGACCGTTGCCGGCGCGAGAAACCTCTCCCGTGATTTCTTTACCGACACGCTCGCGTTAGCACCAATAATCGAGGGAACGCGAAACGGGCGTTATATATTGCGATGAATCGCGCAACAACGCCGCCAACCACGATTCTTCTATTGCACGATTTCGAGAGGATTCGAAAATCCTCCAAATTTCGTCCCTCGAAACGACGAATGACGACGACGAACGACGACGAGCCACGAGTCGGAAACTGGACTCTTGCCGGCTTCTCGCGCCGACCGTTCTTTGTTTTGTTTTGGATGAGGGGCGAGGGGGGGGAGGGGGGGGGGAATCCGTCGAGGACGAAACATACGTTGGCCAATCCGCGTGTCCATAATTTTTCCAATCGTGACGGAGACGTATATTCCTTCCTCGACCGATCGTCGAACGAACGACCTAACCTATATAACGATGGCGTTCGAAAAAGCCTAGTGTGTGGTCGTGGTCGCAAAGTGGCAATTGGAAGTTGCCAGTTTCTTCCATATCTTCTCTCTGTCTGTCTCTCTCTCTCTCTCTTTCTATTTCCATAAAATATAAAACTTGATCAACTTGGCCGATCCAGTTGCCACTTTGATTCGTATATATATATATATATATATATATATATATATATATATATATA